ATTGTCAATTCATTGTGTGACAAATATGGTCATAATTCACATAGCTGATTGGAAATTGATGCAGTTTAAGGAATCCGCTTTATACTTTTGTCTTTCACTGATTATAAATTAGTTAGAATTAGAGAAAAAAGGAGTAGTGTACAGTGTGTAACTTTTACTGAAATACACACTGTAACTCTTGTGAAATGGAGGTGAAGAACTGGAAGAAAAAGGGTACCAAAATATTTAAATAATCATTGCTTAGATGGAGGGGAACTGGGATTAATGAAGAGATAATCCCAAAACATTTAAATAATGATGACGGAACAGCAGGAATGGCATTGAAATAACAATGATCAGTAAGATGTGGAGGCAGAAATGGAGGCTGTTTCCAAAGCAACAATTTTGATTTGAGAGGGGATTGGGTTAAACGAGATAGAAATAAGGCAGCATCTGCAGCCATCAGTTTATATTGATTTACTGAATGAAAACAAGGACACAATTATATTTAAATGATATTGATTCAAACCTGTTGTATCCAGCCTTGAAAATAGATTATCTGTGGTATCAGACACATTTATATATACAACAAAAAATTGCTTTTTAATGATATATTTTCATGAAGGTCGTTTATTCACAACCTTTCCATGTTTCAAATTATGGAAATTGAAATTTGATCCTAAACTGGAGAAAGCTAGAAATAAACTAAAAAAATAAAAATTGTCTCGCTTCCAAAAATGATGTCATCCGTGGCAGGACATGAAGGAGTAAGATGAAATATTGAAATAAATCTCTCCAGGGAATTAAGCTGAGGATCTTGGTTGTGTGGGACCGTGACGGTATCGTTCACTGATCTGCCCAAGAAGCAGCCTTATTCTTGCTTATTGATATTTATCCTAGTATTAAAAATTAATAATTTGTTGTTTGTGTCTGACAAATAAAATGTTATTTAATACACCTGTACCTAAATAATGTAATGTGACTAGCAGTAACATATTTATTTAATGCATTTTTGTGAATGAAATTACATGTTTTCTACATACTGTAAAAGTGACCTAACACAGGCCTGCATTGTTTCAAACTAGCTTGACTGGCTTGCTATGGATGAGTTGACTTAACCAATATCTACATGTATTGTTCTTCATCTTTATTTGCTAACAAATTACGCATGGATTTATTTTCGATGGTGGTCATGTCATCTTTTGATGTCTACACAACACATATATTCAAATCAAAACTTGCTGATTTCAGCGGGGCATGACTGGTGACTCTGGGAATGGGCGTAACTTTGCTAATTGTGAGGTGAACAACACCATGTTTGTTTAGTGGAATGATGCTGGAATTTAACACTGACATTGATGTATCATGACTAATTGGCTTACATTATCTAATTATTTTCTCTGAATGGACAAATCAATATTTCGTGTTTGCTTGAAATAACTGAAATTACTGGTATACATGTATTAGTCAAAATGTTGCTATGACACCAGGTTTTATTTGCACTTTATAAATGTATAAAATCATCAAAGTGAGAAAAAGATCTAAACATACAAAATAATAGTAAATTATATTGTGAAACAAGGAGAAAAGAAATGATAAATATAAAATTAGTAATTCTTCATTCTTGAAATGTTTCCATAGTGATTATAGTTTAGAGATTTGGACACTTTTCTTAGTAGCTTTCAGGATTGAATTATTAAAATTATAATGAGTCTTGTAATAAATTTGATTAAAATAATGTCATAATATTATTGACATATGTATAATAAATTGACTGACTCTGTCTGAAAAAATAATTTCAATTGATAGAGAAACTTGATGATAAAAACAGAATTTCTTTCTGCCATGGACCATAACATAATCAGGGTTACACTTTTGTTTTATTGGTGACTGTTGTATTTAAAAGCCTATCTCTAATAAATGTGTACATAAACTGTATTTACTACATACTGGTTCTCTAAACTCTGATTACGGTAGTATCGACCCAACACAGCTCTCATCTAAGCAGGAGTATGCACTACTAAGGCAAATAGTGTATTTTAATAAAAATAAAAATTTCAGACAGTACAATGTTAATTGGAATATGGTAATACATTTACCAATTCTATATTCTAAAAGAAAGAAGTTGGGAAACATAAATTGACTTAACTATAATACAATATTTAATTTTTAATTAATTGTATTTCTTGTATATGATCATGAAAATTGAATAATTAATGAGATTTCTAATTTTGATTTCAGGTTTATCCATCGTCTGAATGTGGAAAGGCATTAATGAAGATGTCGTACTGTCCACACTGTAAAGGACTACCATCAGTGAAACCATGCAACAACTATTGTCTTAATGTTATGAAGGGTTGCCTTGCCAGTGTATCAGATTTAGATGCAGAGTGGAATACATTCATTGGTGAGTGGTGGAAATATGCCCTAAGAAATCAATTTATATTTTATCATATCTATGTTAATTAAACCAATAAAATGAACAAGTATCTGGTCATTTCTTAACTTGTATTTAATATGGGGGGGGGGGGGGTTTGACCATTGGTAACTACATCTCGGAAATTTAAAAAAATAAAATAAAATTCTTACACGCTTTGTAGACAAAATTTCAGCTACCAAACTGTCTGTGTTGTGAGTCACAACAACTGTTTTAATTTAGTCTGGATTTAGATAGTCTTCCTACTCTGCCTAGAATACACTGCTATTTTGTTGTCTTGCTCCTTATTAACCATCCCACAACTGTTGACACAAGTCCACCCCCAGGTCATACATCATTTTGATGGGTTTGTTTCATTGAAATTCATGGGGATTTATTCACTACAGGGTCATGCTGCAGTCCACATATTAAGAGTATCAAGAGCCATAAATATCAGTTTAGTGTTTTTTGTCGTAAACATTCTGTAACATTGTAAAACATGGCACAGAGAAGTTTGATAGTGACAGATTGAGTCAAATGTTGTTGTCAGGGCAATGTTTTGTCTCATAATTTTTTTTCACAGATTTTTTTTTCTGTCAAATGAATTATACCTTAAAAACTCCAAAATTTCGACCCCTCTAAAAATTCGTCCGTTTAATTTTTTGCCTGGGTTTCGGTGTTTTTGTTTGCCTCCAAGTTTTCGATTCCACTAAAAATTTCCGACTCATTCTTATTCGAAAATTGCGACCAGTTTTGGTTTTCCCCCAAACGGGAAAAACAAGGATGTGTGCGTTCAAACAGGACTTTTCCCGAAGGCATGAATCCGGGTTTCTGATTGACTGAGAGATTTTTATTTTATTGGTAACGAAAGTATATTTCAAAACGAAGTTTCAAATAAACACGAACACAATCACATCCTTCTACATAGAAGCAAATGATCATGGTTACAAAATCCAGTCATGCTGCGTTTCTGAATTGTTAATTATTACTCAGTAGTGATTATAATAATGTACACAAAATAAATTCATTGAATTGTTTTGAAATACAAATAAAAGTCAACTTAGTTTCATCGTAAGTGAATGATTCCAGTCTCGTATAAACGTTCAATGCTGTAGGATATCCGCCATGTTCTCTTAGGTCAAATAGGTCAAATTGCTAATTAACCAATCAAAAAGCTGGATGATGCCAACGTGTTCATATTATCATAGCTTATTTAAATATGTTAATGTTATTGAACGCAATGCGGAAGAGATTGATGTTGTAGAACGATCTTTTGGCTTGGATTTTGATGTGAAAACGGCATGATTTTTTTTTAAATCCAAAAATTAGTTGTTTTGAAAAATAAACTAGGCATTTGAAGAATAATTTAACATTATTTACAGTGATAACAGCTCATTGTTGAAACGAAGCTTACCGGTTACGCTAGTCACGATAAAAATCATACTCTTGAATAGACGTCAATGACTACTACTACTAAAACTATTTTAGCCATCAGGAATGATTGAAATGTCGGAAAAATGACGCCAAAATACATCTTAAAAGTCCCATTTTATTTTCTTAAATCCCATTTTATTTTTTAATCCAAGGGCAAATTTACGGCAGAATCTGGTCCCTCAAATAAGGGATACGTGAGCTTTGATTCTAACCGGATACATTGCACTGGGTCGGGGAGATAGTTTGCTAAACTTCCATGTACATGTATCTTTTGTTCAATGGGTACCTGCACTTCGAACACTCGCAAGTTTGCGTCTTGATGTTTTGTTTTCCTTGTCATAATGATTTTGTTTTGATTTTGAGTTGTTTAGCCTACAACTCGGCCACGACCATTGCTTTTACCGTGAAACATGGGGAATTTTACGTCAATTGACGGACATTGCATTTTTTTAAAACTAACGAAGCACACTCACTGTCAATCATCCCCATTTTTTTTTTTTGCTGATTTCTATTCTGAAAAATTCGACCGCCCGAAAATGCACCTTAATTTTGACTCGTCACATTTCCAACACCAATTATTTAAAACCGGTCGAAATTTTGGAGTTTTCGCGGTGGTCATGTAAGTTCTAAATTTAATGAATGGGGCTTATCAAAATACAACCAGAAATAATTTGTTAGCATAATAGCAGAAGCAATTGGTATGGTTTTAGGCACAGTTAGCATTAGTTTTTGCAGTTGTTTCTTGCCATTGAGGCGTTAGTGTAGTTGCTACCCTGTTGCCTTTTTCCCCTGTCCTTATTACCAGTATTTTTGCGACTGTCCGTGGAATTCTTAGCTTCTCCTGAGGGAAATATATTGTCGGCTGCTGCCAGAACAACTTGAGTAACGAGTAAACAATTGGTAGTTGATAAGTAGCAAATCTACGTTGAATTGTGTAACTGGAAGGAATATCTGGCATTCTAATCAGTCGGTTTCTTATTGTAGTTCTCAAAGCTATTTTGTAATTCTCTTGAAGTGCTTTAAATGGAAGCAGTAGTTTTTTTTGTTTGAGCAATATTTTCTGGGGAAAAAAACATGAAAGGGAGTAATTATTCCCGACTACTTAACTACAAGTGAAAGGTCATCGAATGCACGTTTACAATTTCTGGGTGAACTGGACAAAATAGAGATTTCTGCCTGAAGGTGTTTTCAATCAGTGATAAAACGCAAGTCCGAGTCTGGTTTTGTGTGAATTACTTGTACAGTGAGAATATCTCTCTGTTTCTTTGTTCACAGGGAAACAGCACAAATGTTTAGAGTGTTTTTGACAGGAATGCCCAAAGCCATGTATCTAATTTCGCAAACCAATGTTTATACAGCGCATTTCAAAATATCGCATCTCGCCATCTTTTTCCTTAGCTAACAAAATTCCATGTCAATTTCATGTATTTTTTTTTTCAGACAAAATGCTAATGTTAGCCGACCGCCTGGAGGGTCCTTTCAACATTGAGTCAGTCGTGGACCCCCTAGATGTCAAGATATCAGACGCTATTATGAACTTTCAAGAAAACGGCATTACAGTGTCGGAAAAGGTACGCATGTTTTCCAGATCTAATTGCCAAACATAGTCAATACTTTTTATTAAACATAGGAAAAGTCAACTGCATATTTGTCTTCTATGACCAAACATAGTGTTAGAGGAACCAAATTAATTTAGTTTATTGCATCATTACTCCAGTAATGGCTTCTTTCTGTTCTGTATATATTGCTGTTGAGGGCTGTGTTGAAATTACGATCACCAAGAGAGGTTTGGGTTTCAAATTAAACGGGATATAAAATGAAGCAGCTGGGAAAAGAAAAGTTCCCTGCAGCAGTACACAGTTCTAAGGCTTTTATTGGACTTTCCTAAGGGTCAAATTGTTTGTCTGTAATTGTCGTTTCTGCCTCGTAACCCCACTATTCATTGTCACTGATCACTTCAAAGTACTCGTGTGGGCAACCGTACT